CCACACAGGGGTGATGTGTACCTTAATTTTAACTTTTTGGATTTCAGATGACTAAATTTGCATTGCCTGTGTGTCTCCCTCTCCTCCCTGCCCAACCCAGCTCACATGGAGGGGCAGGAAGAGGGGCCCAAAGACATCCCAAGAGAAGTAGAGTCCTCCAGAACATACATGGAGCAGGATGATTTCTGTGTAAAGTAGAAAGGTTTTCTTTCCCACTGCCACTGCAGGTGTGTCCAAAATCATAGCTGACTTGATACCTATCTTTGGGATAATGATTAACTAATTGGTTATTGTTTAATAAAGAATACTTTATTAACCACCAGATGTTTAAACCCAACAAGTTCTGTGGCTGGCAATCTGGCCAAAGAAGACATGCAAACAGAGTGTTATATACACACACACACACACACAGTACTTCAATTTTACATGAGAGTTTTACCTTTTTTCCTTTTCCTACTTGCCATATTTTACAGGTTACGAGTATAGTGGGTGGGTCTTGTTTTTAGCTCTACCTTTATTTACTAAGGCCATGTCCACCCTAGAGACCTTACAGTGGCACAGCTGTACCGATGCAGCTATGCCACTGTAACATCTCACATGTAGCCACTCTATGCCAATGGGAGAGAGCTCTCCCGTCAGCATAATTAACCCACCCCCAATGAGCAACAGTAGCTATGTCAGTGGGAGTGTCTCCAACTGACATGGCGCTTCTGTCAGGGTAACTTATGGTACTCAGGAGTGTGTTTTTTCACACCCCTAAGTGACATAAGTTATACCGACAAAAGTGCTAGTATAGACATAGCTTAAGTTACCTTTTACAGTTACATCAGCCATAGAATTTGCTTGAAAATATGATGAACCTTATAAATCATTGCTATATTACTAAACTACTACATTAAATACCCCTAAACAAAAGCAAATAGTGGTTATTAGCTTTGTTTTAAAATATATTATCTAAATTTTAGAAAAAAGATTGTAACATGGCTTTATAGGCAACCAATTTAATTTTAAGCCAAATGTATGTTAAAAGCAATTTGCTTTTTCAGTTTCTTTTTTTTTTTTTTACATACAGACAAAACTGCTAGGGAAGTTACTTCCCTTTTAGTCTACAGCAACATATTGGCTGCTGGCCAAAGACTTCTAATGACTTTTGACTGGTTTCTGTAAGTTGTTTGTTTCTTTTAAATATAGATTAACCGGGAATTACAAATTAAGAGCACAAACTTAATATCTTTAATGTTATAATTACTTGATAAATTATTAAGATGAAAAGATACTTAATGGAATCTTTTAAAAGGAAATTTATTTCACCCATATACTTTGCAAAATTGTTTCTACCTTTATTACAGCTGGCAGTCCTCCCCCACTGGGTTACAAAATACATAGTTACAAGGCCTCTAAGACCTGTGATTAACTAAGCTTCCATTATTTTCTTATAAGTGGAGATTACTTCTTTTGAGACTCCCACTCACTTGACCATTCCTTTACTTGATTTTTAAGCTTCCTACAATCAGCTTTTTGGAATTCCCCTTGTCTTGCAAGGATGACCCTACTAAATATTACTGACACCTTAAAGGAGTGAAGCCAAACAAAATTATAATTAATAGAGCCCACCTCCAGGGCTCTTCGATACTCTTACGAAAGTATAACTTTCATATCCTTATTTGCTCTCTTATTCAACTGGTTATTTTTATACAAAATTCCTTTAAAATCCTCCACAATTCACTACAGGGACTGTCATTTCCTCCCTTCTCTATCCGCTGCCAGGAAGCATTTGTGATGTTTTCGTCCCTTTCAGCTACTACTGGCCAGAAATCCTTCAGATCACAATGGGCTGGTAATGTATAACCACCACTTGGGGCGTTGTGACCGAGGTGTCCCACAGAGCTTCCCTTAATCTTCTGTCAGGGCACAGTCCAGAGAAGTCTTATATTTCAGGGACCCTCTGGTCTGTAAATGACTGCGGGGTCCCAACACTCCCGTTTATTCAGTTAATATCTGGTACTACTATTCATATATCACAATATCTACCCATTAACATCTGTACATTTAAAACAAAAATAATTCTCTTCTTGCGAAATTGCAAAATGACTAGTCCATTACAATTCACTTCTTTTTCACGGAAGACTTCTCCCCCCAAACTCCTTTCTTGAGGAATTCCAACCTGTGTTTATCTTCTTGAGAAACAAGAGGGCACTCACATCCATTCTCTTATTTCTTATCTTTTATTTCCTTTATGGGCTCATAATTTCACAATGACAAAAGAAAAAGAGATAGAACTACACAAGAATAAAACAGGAACTGAGAAGTGGTAGTGACATTCCAGGTTGATTGCACAGCTGTGGCAGTTTGCCCTGCTCAGAGTCAGACTATGACAAGGATTTTATTCCCAGGCTAGCACCAAGGATGGTCTTGACCTATCCCTGTCTCACTACAGGGTGGTCTTCTTCTCTATGTGCTCTTTCTGGTGCCATCTGGGGTGCCAGATCTGTAATTTAACTGATGGATTTGTGTATTGATTAATCTCTTAGACTGCAGAGGTCAATAAGGGTTCAGTCTCCTGAGTGGTTACAAAGTCAGGAAGTTCATTATTAGTATCATTAGAATGAGACACCCGAGACGCACACAAGCAACAATTACAATTGATCACAAGTTCCTTTATTAACAAATACACTAAGCAAATAAACAATCCCACAACACTGAAGTACAACAGCAGATATAGAGAATGAGTGCAAAGCGATTAGCCCTGCAACTGCCATCATTCATATCTCCTGCTGGGGAAACCTGGAGTGTCAGTCATTATCTTCCTCTTCCTCCTCACCAGAGGGTGTCATCCTGGTGTCTCCCAAGGCACACAGGCTCAGATACAGCTTTTTTAATGTGTTATGCTGACACACACTGGGGTCCGTACATATTTATGAAGGCTTCAACTCCTTTTCCTTATCTATACTTTCACAGCCCACTAAGTTTGGAGTGGCCACTTTTATAGACTAACTTGTTAGTTCCTCTTAGGCTTGTTAACATTTATGTCATTCAGTCATCATAACAACTTGTTGTTAACACATTGCTGACATCCTATGTTTGGAAAAATCCCAAAAATACTATATCAGGCTTTAACTGATACATTGCAATATATATTTCCTAAATATCAGCACATCTATTCCTTTGACTGTTTCATCTCATAACATAGGCTGACATGAGTAACTGATGAGTCACCCTATTTTTAGGCCTGAGACCTTGACTGGCTAAGCTAAATATCTTACAGGCCTGAGGCTTGCAAGTCCTTAATTATAACATTAATAGTGATATTTCACCTCTATATCCTAAATATACCCGATATCTTTTACTATTGGCTACAACCCTCCTTAACCACCCAACTTCCTCTGCTATCACTCACATTCTCCAATCCCTCCCATCCTCGCCCCTCCAACTCCCCTAATCCCTATCCCCTCCCCCTTACCTGAGACCCGCAAGTCCTCTCCCACCCATTCCATTCATCCCCTCCCCATAATACCCTATCCCTCACTACAGGCCCAAAACTCTCTCCCCCATTCCCACTTAATCACACCTCCCCTCCCCAGTGAACATTCACATATGTAATTTGTTAGCTTTTCAAAAATAATGTCAGCACCTTCTGAATATGCTTCCGTACTCAGATTTCTTTAAAAAAAAAAAAAAAAAAAAGCCACACCACTCAACAATTTGACAGTGACAGATTTTTTCTAAATGTTTACAGTTCCTTCTCAGATTTCTGCCCAGGTGGATTTCAAAGTTGCTAGAATCTGTGAACTTGATAAAAAAAATATTTTTGGGGGGAGGGGGGAAATCTCAGGAACCCCTTGTTCAAATAACCCCACGTTCAAATAACCCCACATTTGTATAATTAACCCTACCCTACAATCCCATAAGGCATAGCTGAGTTGGGTTGTCCCTGCCCCCTCAGATCCTGGCACACAGAGTGGAGAATGTGTGGCTGAGCAGCACACCCTGTCCCTATTCTCCCCCAGTCTCCTGTTACTCACCCCGGTATCCCCTCCCATTCCCCCATCTCCGTCACCTGATCCCCCAACCTGCCTCCCCTATTCCTATCTGCTTTTCCACCCCAGCTACCCTCTCTTCACACTGAGCATTTGTTTGTGTTGTTTATTTTCTTTTCACAAAATAATTTCAGCACATTGTGAAATATTATGCTTGTACTCAGATTACAGTTCCTCAAAATACAAATTGCTCTTTGATGGGGCAGATTGGAGCAATATGCCTGTTGGTTCCCACCCCGGACCTGGGTTGGATTTGAACTGGAAGTAGTACTCAGATTTAATGACCATTAAATTCCCTCAGAGCCACACATGTCCAGGGATGGAGAGGTAGTTTTCCAGATAGTTAGCCTCTCTCTGTGCATGAGTCTTAGAACTGTTTGGCATGTGCCTACCTGCAAAAGAAACAATTTTTCAAATAACATTTTAATTTGATTTCTCGCAAAAAGCTGGTGAGTGCTATACACTCTCTTGGGGGTAACCTGTGAGGGATGGAGATCCATGTGCAATGATGTGAACCCTGGTTTGACCTTTATCTGTCTGAGTAAGTGTTGCCAAAACAAGTCAACTTTAAGGAAAGCTGGGAGATTTCAGGGAGCTGTATCTTGGGAATCTCTTGGTCAAATGGCCCCACATTTGGATCATTGTCCCTTCCCTGAACCCCCAGTGAAGCACACCAAATTTCAAGGCAACCCAACGAACCTTATGGATTTTAGAGCACTGAGAATGGTTGAGCTTTACACATAAAGCTGGTTTTAACCTTAACTATAGCAGAGATCCTACTCTGCTGCTCTGCTATAATAGACTGCATAATTAGGAAGTATTCCCCCCCCCCCCGCCATCCCAATATTCAGCCAAACAGCTCTGTTAAGCCACAGCTCCATAGCTCAACAAAGAAAGAACATGAGCAGCAAGATACAAAACTAGATTCCGAACAGAGGGGTGACAGTTTAGACTAAAACATACCTGGCAGGCAGATGGATGACTGTGATGGAGGTCCCATTGGGAAGATACTATGTCAACAGACTTTTCAGCCATATTAAGCAAATTCATCCAGCCTTGGAAAAGAGACAAGTGGGATGGTGCACTGTCTGAATAGTTTATACCTTCAGGAATGTTTTCCACAAGAGCAACCCTAAGAGGAGACAAAAAAAAAAAAAAGACATTTAATAAAGCCACTTTTTACAAAGTCTCCCACTTTGTAAAAGTATTGTTAGTTTGGGGGACTATTTATTGGGCCCATGATTTAGGGCCTGATCCTCACACATGCTCTAAAACCTACAACTCTCAGTGAAGTCACTAAAGTCTGTCTAAACTGCAGCTGGGAGCCTGTTCCCAAGCACCGGTAGACTGACACACACTAGCGCCTCTTGAGTTAGCATGGTAAAAATAGCAGTGTAGCCAGCAGTGCAGGTGGCAGCTTGGGTTATTTGCCTGAGTGTGCACCCAGAGAGTCTGGACAAGTTTGTATTCAGGTGGCTAGCCCATGGTACCCCTGGCTTCACTGCTATATTTAGTGCAGTAGCTCAAGCGGAGCTAGCATATGTTTGTCTAGCCACACTGGGAAGCAGTGTAGACATACCCTAAGAATTTCCAGTACTTAGCACTTCTCAGGATCATGTTTTCTATCCCCATACAATAAACATGGATCTGAACAATTTTTAATGCTATATAATGAATGAGGTTCCTGAAGCCCAGCAATCTCTTTCATGCAGAACTAGCTATTTAACCCTTAACACATTAAGGATGAGTACATTCATCCTGAGGATATTAATAAACTAAACTGGTCTCCTATCTCCTTTTTAGCCCACCACCAGTACCATCTCCCCTCCCCATATCCCCTCTCTCTTACTTGAGCAACACTTCCCTTAAGAGCCCCCCTGCTCCACGTGGAAGAGACACACTCCCTAGCACCCTAACAGCTGGTTTTTTAAAGCATGGAACAGCCTCTAGGCTCAGATTAGCAAGCCTCCACTCCCAGTTTCTGCTCTGAGCCACCCACCCTGCTTCTGTTTACCTACATGATGCAGTGATCAGGAACCATCAGCAAAGGAAGGCAGGGGATACAGCTATTTCATCCTGTACCCTTTCCCCTTTTTGCATCTACTTTTAGGAAAGCTCCTTAAAATTGTTTTCTATATTTTGCTTGACATTTGCAAGTTACATATGTCTCAATGTATTGAAAAGTATAGAAATCACTGCTCTAAACAATTGTTCAAGATAGGTCGCTGTCTGTCAGGAAGGAGAGGCAATTCATGCAGCATACTGCTTCACTGCTTGACTTCCTCAAATTGAAAACTTTAGCAAATTATAAGGCCCTACTTTCCAACAAAAATCAGTTTGTTTGAAACAAACAGGTCCAATTATGTTCTCAGATACACAGTTGTATTTTTGTATTGGGAAGCAAAAGGTATGAAAGTAGCTGGCTAAGCCTTCTTGATAGAAATCCTAACATAATCAATTCCTGCCAATTCTGACTCTTTCCAATAAACACATATATCCTCATTTTTTGTCTTTGGTCCAAATCGTGACCCTAACAGCATCCCAGTGCAAGAGGACAAGGGGCTCACTGGTATCTGATAGCGAGTTTCAGATGGCTTGAGCAGTTCAGTGTACCTAACTCACTAATGTCATAATTGTATCTAAAAGGTGTCATGTAAGATATCAATAGAAAGTTAACATATTAATTGTTAATATTATTGCAATATATAATGTACAAAGGACAAATTCAAAATTACAAACATACTGGAAATAGGTTAGTAAAGCGTGCCTGCCTGACGGGGCTAAAGTTACCCCACCCTAGACAAAGGAACGGGGGTCTACCACCTTAAAGGTATCTCCAAGATATTAAGCAACAATGGGAATTCAATTTACATCGAAGGTAAACAAGACCATCAAGCCAACAAAGGGAGGAGACAACCACTCAGCATCACAGCAATGGGAAGAGATTGCAGGAAAGAGTAATTTGCATTTTAGCAAACATCAGCAGGGGAAGAAAACAGCATGGAACATCCTTTACCAGGTGACTCCATGTTGCCTTCCTCACAGCTTGAATGAGCTTTATCTTGTGGGGAGCAACTAATCTTCAGTGAACCTTTAAAAGGGATTCTTCTGGACTATAAAAGAAAGGGGGTAAGAATCCCCCAAGTGATCTTTCATCTAAAGACAACAAAGGAACTGAGCACTTTGGACTTTAGCAGAGATCCTGATCAGAGGTGTGGTCAGCCACCTTGCTGGAATGTAGTGTGATGAGACTCTGACCTTGAACCAGAACTGCAGTTTTATTAAGTCAGTCTCTAGAAATTGTTTTTCACTTTTAATTCCTTGTAACAATATTCTTTATATCTGAACTCATGCAAAATCCTACTAATGCACTTTTTACCTTTAATCTAAATCAACCCAGTGCTACGTTTGATTTAAAGTGAATGTTAACACCAGTCAATGTGGCAAGCTGCTGGGTATTATATCTTTAAAAGGAACAAGCAAACATGAATCGCTCTGAATGGTTCAGGAGAGGACTAGATACTGCAGAGCACATGGTTTTTGGAAAACTCGGGACTGGCAGATGTTGCTATCATCTTGCCAGACGTAACCAGAGCGTGGCTGGGGTGTAACAAGTAGGCTGCTGGAATTAGAGTTGTGAGTCAGAGCTGCTTAACACACAGATACTCAGTGTGCATGCTTGTCTGTTGACTGGAAGCTTCCAGGCATGGGCACTACCATCAGCAGAGCATTTAAGGCACCCAGAGTGACAGAGCAGGCAGTGACAATCCCTCACTGGTCTGAACTGCACCTCAGACCATGACACAAAGAATGATGGGTTAATTCTGGTAAAATGATCCATTCATGTACCTTTACTATTAATACTAGGTTAATTACCTACTTCATTAAGGCAACTATGCAGGACTAGATTGGAAATAGAACCATTTGTATTTGAAAATTAATATTTAGTGTTTAGAAGCCCTAAACCACCATCTAATCTTTCTGTTTTCACTATAGGTCTTTTTCTTTCCACTAGAAAGATTTAGATTATGTGCTGAATTTATTTTTTTAATAGGTTGGGTGGAATTTTAAGTGGCAGAGTACTAAGGCCCTGATGCTGCTATCTGACCCTACTGCCCATGTGAATCATAGATTCAGGGTATGGCTACACTTGCAGATGTAGAGCGCTTTGAGTTAAACCAGCCTTTGGAGAGCGCAGTAGGGAAAGCGCTGCAATTTGTCCACACGGACAGCTTCAAGCGCACTGGCGTGGTCACATTAGCAGCTCTTGCAACGACCAGAGAGGAGTGCATTATGGTAGCTATCCCAGCATACAAGTGGCTGCAACGTGCTTTTCAAATGCAGGGGGGTGGAGTGTGACAGGGAGTGTGTTGTGTGTATGTGGGGGGGGGAAGAGTGGGTTGGGGGGGCTGAGAGCATGTCAGCATGCTGTCTTGTAAGTTCAGACAGCAGCGCACTCCCTCTCTCGCGCTCTTACTCTCTCTCTCTCTCTCACACTCTCACACACACAGAGTAACGGCTTGCTTTGTCTTGGAGCAGATAAGCAGCTGGCTGTCAGAAACGGAGCTTTCAGAGGGCATATCCACATTCCTACAGCAAGTTAAAAAACAATGAGAAGAGCAGCCACTTGATTTAAGGGGATTATGGGACATTTCCGGAGGCTGATCAGAGTGCAGTAATGCAACACCTCATTCACACCGATGCCAAGGCGCTCTAGCGGGGGGGGGGGGCGTGGGTGAGGGGCAGCAAATGTTATTCCACTTACCAAGGTGGAGTACCAGCAGTGCTGTAGCCGCAGAGTCAGAGCGCTCTACGTGCCTTGCCAGTGTGGATGGGTAGTGAGCTAGTGTGCCCGGGGCTCCTTTATTGAGCTGTAACTCACAAGTGTAGCCAAGCCCTCAGAGAAGACGAGCTGAGAGGAGACCTTTATGATCATCTAGTCTAACCTCTTGCATAGTACAGGCCATAGAAAAACCTCACCTAATAGTTAATTCATCCCATAACTTCTGTTTGAGTTGTAGCATATCGTTTAGAAAGACATCTAATATAAAGCTCTCATATAGGTGAAGGGAAAATCAGGCATGATGGCATAACCAATCCTGCAATAATAGCATACTAAAAACAAAGTAAAATACTAAGTCTAACCTTTTGGCTAAAATTAACCCTTTCATGATCACAAAGTCACTAGTAGGAGACGACAACACCTTACACTTGATATACCCACTTTTTCCATATTTGATGCTCTTTATATATTTAATCTGATTAATCTTTACAATATCTGTGAGGCATGTAGGTAATTTTATAGAGATGGGGGAAAGTGAACAGAAAATTTAAATTACTTTTCCAAAGTTGCAGAGGGAGTCAGTGCTGGAGTCAGGCTTCAAACTCCTGTTATGGAGCAAAAATACAGTAATCAATGTAGCCATATTTAAAACCTGGCAAAGAACAGAACTAGACCTCATTAATAAAAATCTGAGCTCAGCCATATGACTCATGCTTATTAATTCCCAGTGAGTTCTGGCTCAGTCTCAGGGCTGTTCATTTATCTTTGACATAATTCTATGGCAAGAAAGCCTGAAGGCCTGATTCTGATCTCACTTACACCAATTTTACACCATGGACTAAACAACGCAGATACTCCTAATTTACATTGGTGTTAATGAGATCAGAATCAGGCCTTGGATACTGACAGTGCTCCCAGACCGTGTGTGTCCCCCTGCAAAGTTTTTTGTTGTTGTTGTTGTTTTTTAAAATGAGTTTAAAAAATGTGGTTATTTGTAATAAGTACATGATTATGAAAGGTGTGCTTTATTGGTATTCCAGTCTTCATTCCATTTGAAATTATCTGAAGAATTGTATGTAGTTCAGTTTGTCTGAAGTCCTCTCTCAATCCAGATATCATCCTGGAGAACATTAAGTTCTGATGTACTTGAGGGTTACCATAACATCTGAGTTCATTTATGATTAAAGTCCACAGATAGGACATTAAACATTTTTCACCTAGGCATCATTACTGATGTTTCATTTCTTTATTGTCTGATATGATAACTGATGGGTTTCTTGTTTTTTTATTTCTATTGAACTGCAAAGGTTTCTGAGATTATTCATGGGAGTAAACAGTAGTAAGTGTTG